GCAAAAATCCCCCCTTTACTATTGCCCAGTTGCGAAAAACCCCCTTATGAATATTTTTGGCAAAAAATCCCCTTCAACTATCCCAAGGGGGTGTTTTTAACCGATGTCCTTTTAAGTAGTTATCTGATGAAATTTTTTGGATGAAATTGCCCCACAACAGATTATTTTTCAAACAATTTATCAGCAATTTTTCAGCCACTTTTTCAGCCACATCCTAACTATGGCATATTCACCCTATAATCGTTTTGAGCACTTAATCAATTGAGGTGCTGATCAAACCTTGCCACCAAAGTGACAAGTAAGTGGTCTAAGTGCAGGGTTGAATTATGTGGAGGCTGATTGTGTTCAACCCCCCGGTAATTTTCAATCTCAGCACCAAATTGTTGACACATAACCAAAACATGCATATTTGGCTGTCAATCAACAACTCATATTTTAAATCGATTATAATAACCGATTCTTCTTTGGTACCCCAAGTGGTTGAACAACATAATGTCTTCTAGGATCGAACAAAAATTCTTTCGGCCTTTTTGGGCTTCTTGAGGCCAAACGAATTGTCATCCATGGCCAAGTAGGCCTTGGAGCAGAAGCATATTTTCTTCCAGCCTTTTTTAGTGTCCTTTTGGTTGTTGAATCTGACACCTGGGCACCACTTATGGTTTCTAAAGGCTTTGTCGACCCTTGACATATACAAGGTTCAGTACTTATTTTTTTAGTATCATCAACAATAAGGCAACGCACCATCACCACATTTGAAGCATATTTTTTTAGGTAACTAATTTGTTTTAAACAATGCAATCCCTCTTTATTTTTTATAAATACAATTTTGTCTCTCCTACAAACAAATCGCAAAATTAATATCACAGTCATTTTGGGACTTTACTGGGTTGCCTTCCAATCTCACCAATGCCACCATCACCACATTTTAAGTTTGCAGTTTTATTTATTGAAATGTTGTCTTTTCTATAAAGCATTATATTATTAAATTTTATTATTAGATAGCATATCAACGAATTTGATTATTATATTACTAGAAAATCCCAAATTAGATACAAATTAATAATCATTAAAATATGTTTAACTCATTTATATTTTAGTACTAAATACAAATACTACATGATAAACAAAATTTGCGATATTTAAAAAAAAAAAAAAAAAACTCAATTCAAGTTGATCTTCATATATTATTGAACTTAATGAAATTTTATAATATTTAATATTAGCACATATTTATTAGTGTAAGAGTAATGTAGTAAAATTAGTAATAAAAGTGTTTTAAGTAACATTATTATTAAACAAATTTAAAAGTGATTCAAGTATAAAAAGATGCGTCACAAAACACATAACTTCGTTTTACTGACGGCAGTTTAATGACAGTTCTACTACTAAAAAGTGTTTTCATCATTCTAACAGCAATCCATATATATATATATATATATATATATATATATATATATAACGGACAACAATCACTAAATATAGCAATCCCTCCTTTACTTTATAGGCTCAACCATTGAATAAATGTACATGACTTTTTTTTTATTAAAGGTGATGTGTTATTTTGTTATTGGAATACATAAGGGATGAGTAGAGTGAAGTTACTCACTCCATATATATATATATATTCCACCTTCCCACAAAAAATATTCACTCTTTCCTTTTTTCGCTGTCCCAATTTAAAATTCAATATAAATTTTTTTTAATATTCCTAATTTACCCTCTTTGCTTTAAAGTTATAAAACAGGAGATCCATTCTAATAGGGTATATTTAAAAATTCATTCTCTATTACTATAGTAAAAATAAATAAAAACATTAAAACTACGCATTTAAAAGGTTAGGTTTCCAAAAAGATATATTTTGTGTATGTATAGTAGGGGCATTTACTCAATGGGCCCAGATTAGTAGATTAGGATTGGGAGAACTCGTCTGGACTCTCTCATAACTGGTATTCGATAATAAAGAATATTCAATATCATTTTTCAATAAATAATCAAGTGGTTTTAGATAATAAAGATAAGGAAATAATCCGCACAAGTAACAACCTCCAAGAGAAGCCCTTTTTCTACAAGGAAAAGAAGAAGAAAGAAATACTATATATTCACATTAGTACGTAGTTTTGTGTTTGTTTGGTTGAGAAACTTAGCGATGAAGAAAGTAAAGCGAGGTCCTTCCCCATTACCAATCCTTCCCCATGATCTCGTGACCGGAATACTCTCACGTCTGCCTGCTAAATCTCTTGTTCGGTTTAAGTGTGTATGCAAGTCAGGGCGCAATCTATTCAGTCAACCTCACTTTGTTAAGATGCATCTAAGCCGACTATCCAAAGACCGAAAGCTAACATTTTCATGTTGGTCTCGCACTTTACAATTTAGGAGAGAACTTCTCGTACAGTCCGGCGATGATCTAACAGCGAAGCACATTCTTCCTCCATTCACAGAAGAACGGGTCTCCATCTTTGGTTCTTGTAATGGGTTGCTATTACTTCAAACTCATCTATCCCATACCCTTAATTTACTTGGTGAATATCTCAACTAGAGAACTCAATAAATTACCATTCATGTTTAGACCATCCATGTCCTATGGATTTGGTTATGATGCATCCACTGATGACTACAAAGTCGTGGCAATCTCATCCCATGTCACCAGTTTATACACAATGAAAACAAATTCTTGGAGGAGGATTCAAGACTTCCCTTCCGAATCGAATTCTCAACCATGTTTACTTCTAAACGGAGTTCTCCATTGGTTTTGTTGCCGTGTGTGGAGGATGATTTCTTTTGATTTAGCTGAGGAGATATTTCGAGATATTCGTTTGCCACATCTTCAAAGGATTGGATCATGTTCAAATTATGTAGTTTGCAGTTGTTATGCAGTTGGAGTTCTCGGAGGATGTCTTTGTATTAACGTCACAGGTGTGGATGATTGCCGGAGTGGTACCAAATTTTGTACGTTGGTCTAACTAGTATTTTGTATGTAGTTTCATATAATATATGTACTTTTTCTTTAATAAACTTTTCATTAATTAATTAACTCAACCTCGTGAATTCTGTAGCCTTGCATTTTTGTCACAATATTGTGGGTTCTTTTCACTTTGATCATAACTGGGTACTTAATTTTTTTAGTGATATTTAGTGTGTTATCAAAGGCACTTAATCCATTCAGAATTAAATGCTAATTTTGGTTATCAAATTACAACTAAATTCTTATCTTTTTCGATCAATTATATTATTATTGTTGTTGTTAGATGGGAGGTTGAGTGACTTTGTTTATTTTACTTTTTTAACAATTCAATTTAATTCATATAATATTTATGTACTGATATTGTGAATTTTCTTTCTTCATCTCAAGGTAACTGCTCTGCTCTGATAATTAAATTCTAGCATTGTTATAAAAAGAAGAATATTTAGGGAACTTTAATTACTGTCCTAGGTACTGGATTCATTGTAGCGATATTTTGAGAATTTCTTCTTTTTAATCTGTTTTAAAAAATTACTTTTGAGTTTGTTCCCACTTTATCTTTATTCCACGTAATGTACATGATCAAAAAATCACATTCTTGGATGGATTTGTTGTTTGTTACTGAAATTTAATGACCAGTTATGATATAAATCAGCTTGATTCATTATTAAGTTATTATTGTACTGTTCAAATTAATTTTGAGACAGATGTAATATTTGACATTTTTTCAATTAAGACGCACACTTCTTGTCTTTTCAAAATCCATCATATGACCCCTTCTTCCTTCATTCTTTAGCCCGCCCTTCCCTCACTAAGCATTTCATAGAGATTAGACTTCATATAAAATTCTTTATTCATCTACCAGATGGGGCCGACAGCTATGGAATTTGAGTTAAAATCACAGTGCTATATATCTAGAATTAAAATTTGAGATGTGATCTTGAGTTTGATGTGACGATAGTTAAAAAGACATTATATATATCCTCTAATTTAATACATATTACATTGTACTCTTTTATAAATTTTGTTTTCCTATTTTAGCAAATGAATTAAACAAATTGCCAATTGAAGGAAAAGGAAAGAACAAATAATTACAATAGGTTTCCTCTCTCTATTGTTAATTTGCTTTCCTCTACTAATCTTTTTCAATATATATACAAGTGTGTGTGTATATATATATATATTCTCTTTTGCGCTCTCTATGTTCTTCGACAACTCTATATCTTTGTTGGGTATTGTAATGACCCGGTCATTTTTCTTCCTTTTCTTTTTCTTAGATTTTAACGGATAATTTTTTTTTTTTTTTCGTTATCTTTTCCTTTTTGGGCTCTGGAATGATTTCCGAGACTCTTTTCCTTGGATTGACAACTTCCTTTGGGGATTGTGTCATTTCTATATTTTATTTTTCCGAACACTATTCATATTTTGTCTTTTTCTCGTTTATCCTTTTTCCTTTCACAACCTCACTTTTTGTGCTCGGATTTGATTCCGGTTTTGTATGCATTCATGATATTTGATTTCCATGATAGTGGTATTTTACTTTTCTAGAAAAGCATGTTGATTGCTTACTTCTTTCATAAAGGGGCATTAATGCATACTTTAGTGTAATTCTTCTTAACTTATGGGGTTTTAGTGTAATTAAATAAAGTAATTATTTTTCATCTTAGGGACCATTTTGCAATTAAATTTGGAAGATAATTTCAAAAAGGACCTTTTTGCAATTTTTGAAAAGTGTGACAACTGTCACACTCTCATTGGTCCACTTGTTGACATTTGTGTGGAAACACTTTGATGCATTGGATGATGACATTTGGAGGGTGAGGATTCACCCACTTGTTGGCCTAGGATTGGTGCACTTGTTGGCTTGGATGGTTGACAAGTGTAGGTGTTGGATTAAGCCTAGGAAGGAGCCATGGATTGGTGACAAGTGTAGGTTCACAATTGAGTCTTGCAAATATCTTTGGGTCACTTTGGGATTATGGTTTTAAAGGAGGGTTTTTGTACAATTGACCATAGATGTGTATGTTGACCATGGTATAGGATCATATAGTGAGTGGAGGATTTCTATTTTCTCCACTCACACATTTTCACATTTCATCTCTTTCTTCCTCACCACAAAACCCTAGCCTCTATGGATGAAGCTTGAAACTTTAGGCATTGACCTTGATCTTTGAGACCCTTCCACTTACTTTAGACCATAAAGCTTGGAATACTTTTTGTTTCACTCATCCTCCTCTTCAAAACCCTTAAAGGATTTAGCCTAACTCCTAGTTTTGCTTTGGTATCTAGGGATTCAATTCTCTAGTGAGGTATTGATCTATTCTTTTGAAGTATTTTTATATCATTATTGATTGTTTTACATGCAAAGAAGAGAAGGACTTGTATTCTGCCCTTAAACTATTTTAACTTGAAATAAATCTTATCAAATTAAATATATAACATGAAAATATAATCTATTAGCTTCCAATTAGTTTTGGTTTCATGTAATTTGGATGTAAAATGAATTAGTTATGAATTTTTGAAGTTGCAAGCTAGTTGTTGGAAATTTAAATTTTTCTTATTTGGTCTGGAAACGAATTTTTATATGGAGCTGTGGTGCTTTAATTACCTTGAAATTTTTACTGGAACTTTCCCCATGAATTTTACACTACTCAGAATTTTTTCACGATTTTAGAGCATTTCTAAATTTTTTTAAAAATTCGAGACTATTTGCTATCCATGTTTTTATTGCAGCTGGAAAACATATTTTTAGATGATTTATTTCACTAACCTTTTGACATTGGATCATGGCTTAAATTTTCAATTTTATACTCTCATATGTTTACTTACAAAATAAATTAGGTTTGCCCAATTTGGATGCCAAATGAATTTTTCATGAATTTTCAAAGTTGGAAGCTACAGGCTGAAAATGTGTTTTCTGGGCAGAATTTGTTTCAAAGTTGTGGGTCAAAACTGTTTCAATTGGGAAAATATTTTGTTAAACTAAATTGATATTATCAAATTACAGTGTTTAAGCTTTCATTGGGCTTTGGATTCATTCAATTTGGATTAGAATTGAATTTTTTATGAATTTCCCAAATTGAAGGTAACAAGCTGAAATATCTGTCATGCAGACCAAAAATTTGGGGAGATTTCACTTCGGTGGTAATTGGGATTTTCATTCCAATTGAGGTAGGGGATGTTCTAGGCTTTTATGTGTGTTATATTGAATGTTTAGCATGATTATACAACTTAATTTCATGCCTTGTATCGATTCTAGAAAATTAGTATTGATTATTTCTTTGTATGAAATTTAATTCACAAGGATATGTATAACTTAGGATGGAATTGTGGCATGCTGGAAAATCATGTTTTAATATGTTTGTTAACATATATTAAATTGGGATTAATTGAATAAGAATTGCATATTTTATTTAAGATTTATCTTTTGTGAAAGATTAAATCTCATGACCGTACCTAGTATAAAATTGACTTGTGATATGCTTTTAAATTATGTCTTGGCATGTTGTTTAACATACTTTAATTTAAGAGCATTTGGACAAGTATGAAAATCTAGAGATTTTAATTAAAATCTAATTAAGGGTTCCATTGGCCTAATTAAGTGTTTAACTTGATATTTGTGATAACTATGACTTATGTTCTAGTATATGTTAATTTGGAACCATTTGATGTTGTTTTAGAAGTTAGGGATTTGATTATCATGATTTAATTAAATTTCACTTTTTTGTTCTTATGGCCTAATCGAGTTTTGATGTGGTGTATGTAATGACCATGCTATATTGTTTATCATGTATTAATTGGAGGCCATTTGATTGAGATTTGAAATCTAGGGAATTTAATTAGTTTATTGATTAAATTCTGTTTCTATTGTATTATTGATTAACTCATGTATTTGACATTGATAGTATGTTTAAAGTATGACTTTTGACTTATAATGGATTTATGAGTTATGTTTCAATATTGGATTATATTGTTATAGCGCGTAACGAATCGCGCTCTGAAGATTCGACATTGTCATCCTATAGTAGTTGTAGATTTAGAGCATGTATTGTATGGTTACTATCTACTTGTGCATCGAAGGTGACTTCGTGCATTATATAAATTATGTATAAGTTGTGAACTTATTTGGCTTATTTTGGAATCACTTGGGACATTGTTTTGTCAGGTCACTAGAGTTTGGCTCTAATACGGGAATGTGAGTCCTCTAAGTCAGAAGTTCGCGCGTTGGGTAGGCTGCCTGGGGGTTAGTAGCTCCAAATTTGCCTTGTCTCGGCGGAAATCCGAGCTTTGATGTCCAAGTCTTCCACTATTTGCTTTCGCATTCAATTCCAAGTTATCAATCATGTTTATATTGTGACTGTGGTTTTGGCTATTGGTGATTTGATGTTGTTAAGTACATCCATACTAAATTGCTATATTTAGTTGATTTAGCATTTAGATTTCAAGTTGATAACTTTGAGAATCTATATCTAGTTGCTTTGTGTAAGCATGTTTCTATCTAGTTGCTTTGTGTAAGCATGTTTCTATCTGGTTGCTTTGTGTAAGCATGTTATATCTTGTTGCTATATGTAGCATGCTCTTGTGTTGTTGAAATTGCATAAAATGATGTGTTTTATGCTAGAAATGATCTTAGGTAGGTAGGATGCTCTTTGAGTCTCACCTTTGACATTGACGTTAGGTGGAATGAACCAGAATGATTAAATCATGTACACTTGTAAAACGTAGGTCGATGCATGCTCATTTCCTACAAGTAGCTTTATGTTACTCACCCCTACGATACTGGGGCATATTTCAGGTACAGGATACAAGATTGGAGATTACAATTGCTTGGGTGATTTGCTGAGTTGAGCTTCTTTAGAAGCATTCTTGTTCACATGCAAGTGTTAGCATGTTCATGATTTGTCTATGAAATATAATTTTTCTAACTTGGAGGTCTGACATGTCAAATGTTGTAAATAAGTTGTAATAAGGCCATGGGCCATTGTAGCATGTTTAAAATACCATTTTACACTTGTGTGTATGTTCACATCATCACACAATAGCATATAATGCAATTTGATCATGCTATGGGGAGTCATTTTGATGCCTTAGGGATGATGTACATCTCTAGTGGTCACTTAGTTTCCTTCGTTTCCGCATTTCGGATCCGTTATCGGGTCATTCTTTTGGTTCATCACAGAACACACTGGGTTGAAAAATTTAAGATCGTCACAGGTATGTATTTAAAATTTAATTGTAATTAGAAAATATCAATTCAAAATACAATTATAAAAAACTTTTAAGTGCATTATGTAAATTAAGATTCTTATCCACCAGAAAGAGATCATTTGTGGTAAAAATTTGTAGTTTTTAGTTTTAATTATTTAAAAATTGAGTCATGCTATTTGGCCAAATAAATAAAAACCTACTACATACTTCACCAAGTCTATGTGCCTGCCTACCCATGTGTCAAATATAATGGAACCCATTTTAAAATAGGGTGAATTACAAAACCCCCCCTTTACTATTATCCAGTTGCGAAAAACCCCTTATGAATGTTTTTGGCAAAAAATTACCCTCAACTATCCCAAGGGGGTATTTTTAACTGATGTCTGTTTAAGTGGTTATCTAATAGAATTTTTTGGACGAAATTACCCCACAACAGATTATTTTTCAGACAATTTATTTATTTTTTCTCTTTTCTTTCTCCGCGTCAAGCAAACCTTCTCATTCCTTCAAACACAAAGCTAATAGCAAATCGAAAAACCCAATTGTTAAAAATTTATCTTTCAACATTACTTGGATAACATGATATAACACATGTAAATAATAGTTGAGGCTCCAAGAATATTTAGCTATATTCATTTAATTTATGACTTGTTTTTATTTATTTACCTTTATTATTGGTTTTTCTTTGTCATGATTTCATCCATGTAATTGAACAATCATTTGCATGTAAAAAGTGTTATGTTTCCTTTGGTTTCTTACCATTTTCATAATAAAATAAATAAATAAAACATCTTAATAATAAGAGTGAGTAAACATACTTCCCAGGAATTACCCCTGTACTTCGTCCATATGGTATGTAATTTTTGAGTAGTAGGTCGTAGAATCAAAATAACTTTATGGTGGAATCAAAACAATATATGATGAGATGATAATTGGATTTCTCTCAAACTAAATGACTTAAATGTCCTTTATAATTAGATTCTTGTGAATTGAATAAGGGGCAATGATATCTTTTTACATTAAAAGCGTTCATATTTTTTGGTCTTTAACTTGAGTACATCGACTACAACAATTTCGTCTCAAAAAGTTACTTTTGGGTTTTTCATGTTCTCGAAGTAAGTAAAAAAAAAAAATTTATTTAGATTTGAAAAAGAGATTATTTTACTTTTTAATTGCCAATTTTAGTCCACTTACCTTGCTGTATCATAATTCAATTAAGGAAAAGAAAGAAATTGGACTAAGAAACATGGCAAATTATTGATTATTTTCCTTAAAATAACTAACTCTTATAGTTGCCTACTAAATATCAAGTGTACTGAAGGAGTTCTTGAGGTGCTTAGAGCATCTCCAACTGTTGTGTATATTTTTTTGTGTAAATCTGATGTGTCATGATGGATTTACACAAAAAATTTAAATTATTTAATTTTAACTCCAACGGTTGTTTTATACATTTTGTGTAAAAATATATCTCCTAATAACAATCAATCATGTGTCATGCCAAGACCCCACATAATTTTTACAAACCTACTTAATATATGGTTGATTCTTTAATGGAATGAAAAAAAGGGATGAGAAAGAAAATATGTTGATTTGGCAGTGTAAAATGGTTTGTAAAATACACAACCCTTTTACACATTGGTGATGTGGCAATGTATCTTAACAAACTGCTGGAGATGGAAAAAATTTACACATCATAGGTAGCAGTATATGTTTTATACAAAAGGATATTTTAACATACCGCTGGAGATGCTCTTAATTTTTTTATCTTCTATTCCAACACCATGGTGGATTTTCTCTCTCCTATACGGTTATACTCAATTTTATTTTATTAATTATATAAATATGATTTTATTGGCTTTCCATTTTTTTTTTTTTTTGGAATTTTTCTTTGCTACTTCACATACCTTGCTTGACGGAGAGAGAGAAAATAAATTAATAAATTGTCTGAAAAACAATCTGTTAAGAGGTAATTTCATTTGAAAAAATTTCTTAAATAATAACTTAAACGGACATCAGTTAAAAACACTCTCTTAGGATAGTTGAGGGGAGTTATTTACTAAAAATATTCATAAGAACTGGCTAATAGTCGAGGGAGATTTTTCACAATTCGCTCTTTAAAATATAAGGTAATTGTAATACCCTTAATTTTAAAAGAATAGTCTTGGAATTTATTTAATTATTTTATTTCATTTTTAATTGATTATTTGATTACGTGACTAATTGTCATGTATTTATTTGAATTGATTGTTTATTTTAATTATGTGTTTAAATTATGTAATTTAATTAATTGTTGGTATGAAATTATTTGATTAAATGCTATGTGATTATTTGTATTTATTTGTTAAAAATTAAATTGTTTTATTTTATTTTATATTTTAAAAGGAAAAGGATTTGGATAGTAATAATAGACCAACCCAATGTGTCACATAGACTACTTAGATATAAGACTTGATAGGTATGAATAATTACCCATTGATAGTTATATATGTCTATATAGTTATATACAGTAGAATTCAATTGCTCCCGGCTGAGCAGGGAGCAATATACTCATTTTTACTTATTGTCTTAGGATTTAATCCTACGACTAATTGAAACATTAGTTATTTTAGGTAATTATCTTTCTTTTAATTAACCATTAATTATGAAATGACTATATTGGATACATTTTTTAAAATAGTAATAATAATTTTTTAAATCGGATTAAACTTTAACTATGTCCCTTTCCACCACTGTAGGTTCGTCACCACCTCCCCCACTGCCACGACCACCTCCTCGATCCATACCACAACACTGCCACCTCCATCACCACCATACTTCCACCCACCACCACCACATACACCAATAATTATAAGGATGCCAATTAATTTGTAGATTTGGTAATTTTTAGTCAAAAGTAGCCATCAAATATGTCTGGGTGGAGGTGGTGTAGTGTAGGTGGCGGTGGTGGTGGAAGTGGTATGGCGGGGGAGGTGGTGGCAGGGTAGAGGTGATGTAGTATAGGTGGCGGTGGTGGTGGAGGTGGTGTGGTGGCAGGGTAGAGGTGACAGTGGCGATGGGGTGATGATAGTTCATGGTTAATTTTTATTTTTATTTTTATTATTTTTTTTTTCTTTAAGAATGTATCCAATATGGTCATTTCATAATTAATGACTAATTAAAATAATATTAATTTTCAAAAATAATTATTTTGTAGCCGTTGGATTCGATCATAAGGATATGAGTAAAAGTGAGTATATTACTTCCTACTCACCAGGGAGCAATTGAATATTACTGTGGTTATATATATATATCAGTGTGTATATATTATCAAGGCGTATCTAGGGGGTGGGTTGGGTGGGCTTGAGCCCATCCCTTTAAAAAAATAATAATAAATAAATTATTATTATTAGTATTAGCCCACCCAAAAATATTAGCCTACCCCATTAACAATTCTTGAATCCGCCTATATATAAATGGATATTGATTAGTTATAATTATTATTATTAATTTATGGAAGGATTTGTAGTGTGTATATATATATATGGATATATATTGTTACAGAAGATATATATAAATATATATGTGTTTTCACGTTAGTCTTATAGTTAGAAATTATTATTATAATGAGTTATTTTTATTTTCTTTCTTTTGTAGCAGACTTAGATTTGATATAGGATTAGGTTAGAATTACATATAGTATGTGTGTGTGTGTGTGTATAAATATATATATGTATATGTATTGGGTGTCTACCAACGGATTTCAAAATCCTTTCGCGTAGATAGAGGAGGCAGAGAGTTTAGAGAGACAACTGAGAGAGAAAGAGAAGGGTTTTGGCCAAAGTTAAAGGTTGAACCAAGGAAGGAAGGAAGATGCTTGCTTGTGGGTTGAACCAGGAGCAACAAAGGACTAAGAAGGCAGCCAAGGGTTGCCGAAAAAGCTAGGGAAGAAGAAGGTTAAGGTTTTCATTCTGAAACCTTAAGGCAAGTTCTTCTTCTAACTCTTTCTCTTTGATCTCGTGTTCTATACATGTCTAGGTTAATTTCAGGATTAATTAGACAGTAAATTGACCATGTATGCATACTTAAATAGATTAAAACAGTAAGTATATATATGAATTTATATTTTCTTGATCTTGAATCTTATTGCATGTAATCTTGTTTTAACTTGTGTCAATGATGCATAATGACTTTATAAAATTAATTGGGATTGTTTGGGACTTATAACAGATGTTTAGGACCCTTAACGGAGGTAATCAGAGGTCACTGGAGGCGGAGAAAATGAGGTATAGCAGGTCGAGAGCCGACTCCCTTTGAAAAAAAATACACGGCTCTCAATGAGAGAGCCGACTACCTTGCTAAGAATTTTTCAGAAACTGTTTTAGGGTTCTATTTTGATGACTGGGGCTGTTCCAAGGTTGTTAGGTTGGTTTGAGTGATTTAAATGATTAGAATAGAATGGATAAACTCCCAGAATGCATGATACACATTAATATGCTAAGGATTCGAACATTATACAATTTTAATTAAATTATATGTTGTTAATGGAGTATTTAATTACTTAAATTTATTATAGCAATTTTCAAGGTATGTGAATACGAATTCAATCATGTATTTACAGTATAATATTGTAATACCCCTAGTTTTCAAAAGGATATAATTGGAATTTAAATTTTTATTTCTTGTGCATTTTTAGTTGTTTACGTGGCTATGTGTTTATGTGGCTTCATGTTATATGTTTAAATGAATTAATTGTTTAATTATAAGTGTGTGCTTAAGTGTTTTTAAATTAATTGTTGTATGTGATTATTTGTTAAAAGATGATGTGTTGATTTAAATATAAATTTAGTTACTTGTTTAAATAT